TTCCGACCCCCTCATTTTTCCAAACCACATCTTGGGGCATTCCCAACCACTAGGGCTCAGATTCCAAGTAGACAGCGGGGTGGCCTTGCAGGGTCTGGTCCCCTGAATGGCTGTCCTCAGCTGTGTCCCCTTTACACGTATGCCTCTGACTCACGGCGCTGGCCCTGCAACGTCCTGGCTCCAGTCTGGGTTTTAAACACTCACGGTCACGTTTTGAATCCAACTTCCCCTGCCTTACATGGTCACATTTCCTAATCTCCACGTCTCCCTTTTATTAAAAAAAAAGAAAATGTTTTACAGAATGACTCTATTTAATTTGACCAGAGAGAGACAGAGAAAGTGAGAAAGCAAGCTGGCATGTCTGAGACTTGAATTGCAGGAGTCCAGCACCCTTAACCACTATGCCACCTGTCAGCCCCATCCCCTTTTCTTAAAAAAAAAAAAAAAAGAGAGAGGTTTTTTGCCATAGGGTCTGTGTGCTCGCTGGAGAGACAGACAGAGAAAGAGAGACAGAAAGTGAGAAATCACCCCCCAGAGAGGATGGCCACACCACAATCCCTCCTGCTCCATTCTCCTCTCGGGATCTTGGGCATGTACGCACATGCACCCAGTGTGAGTTTCCAGGCTCCGTATCTGGGACTCGAACCACAGTTGGCCACATGGGAGTCCAGCAACGTCACCATTATTCTATCTCCTGGCCTCGTATGTCTCTCTTATTAAAAAATAATTATTTATTTAATTTTATTTATTATCATTGTTATTTTTTTATTTTGCTATAGGGCACATGCACCAACCAGCGAGAGAGAGAGAGGTTTATTTGCTATAGGGTACATGTGGTCACTGGAGAGACAGAGAGAGTGAAAGTGAGAAACCACCCCCTAGCGGGATGGCCACACCACAATCCTTTTTCCTCCAGTCTCCTCTTGGGATTCTGGGCATGCATGCGCATGCACCCCACATGAGTTTAAGCTGCCAGGTCTAGGACTCGAACCACAGCCGACTATGTGGGAGTCCAACAACATAACCACGATGCCATCTACTGGTCCCATGTCATCTTCTTTCCCAGGGACTGGCTCTCCCACTGTGGGCCACCAGGGTGTAATGATTGGGCACATACTGGCCTGGTGTTGCAGGCCAAACCTTAACACTCCCACCCACTGTGGGGGCCAGCAGATGGTGCCAAGACCAAGGGACTAGACCAGTCATGGCCAACTGAACAATCTGAGCCCCAGACCCGGTGGTTTGAAACCACGCCAGGCACCCATGCACGTGTCTAGAATTCCTAGTGGAGAATGGAAGAGAAGGGACCGTGGCACGGCCAATCGCTCTGGGGCCTTGAGGTCTCACCGTGGCCCTCTCCCTGCGTCTCTTTCCAGGTAGAGCATCTGACCAGTGGCAAAACAAAAAGTGGATTCTCAACTGAGTTCATCCAAGTGGACTGGAAATTGGTTCAG